AATTATGTACTATTACAAACAATTTGTTCTTTCTTAAGCCAAAAATTTTCAATCATTATTTTGAATGAATCATTTTAATCTGCTTTAACTTTTTAGTCTCTTTAACATTTTTCCTTTATAGAATGTACTGTTAGCTCATTCTTAATTAAACACTCTATCATGATGTCATAGCAAACAATTTAGCAACTTCCCCTTCTTTTACTTCTCGAGTTCTGCCTATCCTGACCTATTTGCACATCTGGCCTCATGAAATTGAGAGATAGTACCATCCCTTCACTTCTCAAAACTTTGATATCAAACATCAAATGTATAGTTAAAATTTAGTTTATCAGAAGAAATTATTCCATATGGAGATCACGAATACTTAAAATTATTAAAGGTTTTCTCAATGGCCACATCAGTTGTTTGACAAAGTAGATCATGAATGTTGAAGGCAAAGTTTCCCCAAATCCTAAGTACAATATGTGATAATCCACATTACTACATCAATTCTACCTTATATTCTTTATCTCAATTTTTCTGAGATGAATAACTATTGAAAAATTCGTACAATTTACAAATTGATCAGAAGTTATCCAACTCAATGATGAACATCTTAATATTTCTATGAAGAATCAAACTATTACACAATACCTCTGCTATATCAAATCCTTAGTTGATAGCATAACTACTATTAGATCCTACATAAATAATATAACTATTATCCTTTACATTCTTGATGGGTTGTCTTTCACCTATCAAGCTATTAAACTACTAGATGCATAGAACTTACCTTAATAAGTCATACAAAACGTACCCAATGATTTGTATTCCTTGCTGTGCAAAAAAAAAGATTAACATAGCAAGTGATCAAGCCAAAGATTTCCTTGTTATTGAATCCCGAAGTTCTTCATTCATAATTGTAGCCAAGGAACTCATTTTGCAAGGGGTATGGTTGAAATGCATCCTCCTACAATCATTAAGGAGGTGCCTCTTTCACTAGAGGAGGTCAAACTTCTTCTTCACATATTATATTGCAAATTCATAGCAAAATCGAATACTTTTCTATCACATGTTAGCATTGTTGTAACGTTAAATTTAGCTCGTTGCAATTCACTACTTCTTCTACTGCATTTTTCACATAGGCACAATGCCACTACAAATTGGTGTGTAGAAATTGAAGCAACTGTCCACTTAATTGGAAATCTTGATCAAGTTCAACATTCAGTGTACCTCATCTTGATTTGTTGATTTGGCATTTTGGCTATCAACCAAGAGATCTTGGGGTTGAAGTTTGCATATGTGATGTGTGTATGTATATGCCTTAATTTGCTTAAAAGTCCAAAAAAGTTCAGCATTCCATCCTTTATCATGGAATATAACAAGTTTTGGTAGGGAATGATGCCTTTCCACCCATAGCTATTAGCAGAATATTCTACCCACTCAAAATTATAAGTTTCTTTTTTCTCATTTTCAACATGTTCCTACTCTCTCCAATAATAAACTTATAGTTTTTAATAATTGTGCTGTATATTTTGATGTCATCAAATCTTGAATCAAGGACAAGCTAACCAATCAAGTTCTTCTCATGAGTGGCAATAATAATAGACTCTACCTACTTTCTTTCAATCGATCTACTTCTCCCCATTGAACTCTTCTTATTCGAACCCTTCAACCTTGCTATAGAACAATCGACTCGAATGTCCTCACAATTCCCATTTTTCTAATCTAGCCAAGTAACATAAATCCTTGTATGCACATCTGATTAGCTAGCCAAACAAGTTGATTAATGGACAACATTATCAAGTATTTTGTTAGTTGACTAAAAATGCTTACTAAACCTATTAATAGATAGCCTATTGAACCTAAAAAATGAGATTTTAATCGAATGAACTACTAAACAAACGAATATTTTAAGTAACAAAAATAAGAAGCTTATTGTCATGAACAAAAAAAATTATAAAATTCTTACATACACACATATTAAATAAATTTATAATCAAATATTGAATGAGCATGCTATTGAACCTTAATCGAGATTATTAACGAGTTTATTTCCAAGCTTTAAATGATATTATTCATATGAACAAATAAAAAAACAAACCATTCAAACTAATTCATTTATCACTCAAATATTATAAATTATTCAAAATTTAAAATTAATTAACTAAACAGTTATAAATAAAATATAATTTAGCTAGTCATGAATAATTTATCAAGCGTCCTAATTCATTTGCAATGCTAACATGTCCAACTAACTATAATTAGAACAATATGAAGCACGGCTGCTGCCCCTTGTTTTTTCTTCTGACCAAGAAAACGAGCTTTTTGCACCATTGTTTTTTTGTTGTTTTTGTTCCGATTTGTTCTTTTCGCGAAATTATTACGTGCGGTCACCGTACATAGTCTAGAGGCCAATCAAGACGCGCCACGTAACTAATACGTTGTGTATTGTTATTATGTACCGCTGTGTATCAGCTGATGTGACGCATTCTGATTGGCCTCTAAACGATCAGATGACCGCAATTATATGATAAATAAAGGAGTCGGATCCAACAAGAACAGCTAGAGAAGCAAACCTAGGACCTAATCCTTTATTTACATCAGAGAAGAGAGAGGATCGACTAATTAAATAGAAAGTGCAAATATGATAAATAAGGCCATCAACTTTGGCCTTTAAAAACCTAGAAAGAAATCAGATGAAGACTTACTCCTACTAAATTAGGCTTCATATAGTAATTCAAACACCATCATATTTGTACTACCACCGTGCAATTCTCATAGCATATTGCAAATGATCTTTTATTTTCTTGATCAATTTGGGGTGATGGAACGCTAAATTTTAGAAAAGAACCGCAAAAATTGGTTAACATCCTAGCGATCCCAAATAAAAACAATAGGGGCTATTTGATTGGCTAAAAACGAATTGCAACGTAAAAGGAATACTTTGAGTTGTTTGAAAGATTGTAAAGTAAATGCAAGTGTTTTTTTTTTTTTTCTTTTTTTTGAGGTAATAAATGCTAAGTAAAAAAATTGGTAGCGGCTTGTGGGGAGATTTGCGGTGGTGGTGATGGTTGGTGGTGAGTGATGATGTCGGGTGGCAGTGGCGGTGACCATCAGAGATGGTGGTCGGCACTAGCCAGGATGGCGACGATTGGAGGCAGACAACAACTGGCAATGGTCAAATAAACTTCATTGCGGTGTAAACCGTTCTAACTCAAAATTGGACAAATTTGATTTACATAAAAAATGAACTAGAATGATTTACACTATATTTATTTACTTTGAATTTCTTTTTTATCCAACCAAACACCAAATTGTTAAAAATCCTTCATTTGAAATACTTTACATCATAAAGTATTCCAACCAAACAGTCCCATAAAAAAAATTAATATCTTAAAAAATATACTTAGGCACATAGTTGTGGATGACCACTGATGATGATGACAAGCAAAGGTAGCGGTTACAACCATTAATGGTGGAGCTAGTAGGACTGCAAATTATCCGAGTGTTTGACTAGTTATTCTTGGCTCGACTCAATAAGAGATAGTTTATGATTATTTGATAAGGTAAATGAGCAAGTTTGAACACAATTGATAAATACTCAATAGCTAAATAAACAAGTTTGAACAACCTAGCATTCAACTCATTTATGTTTATGAACAATATCATTTAGAGCTCGTGAGCATGTTCATTAAGAAACCCAATTATACCTTATTTAATTAAAAATAAAATGTATATCTTTTTGACTAATAAGATAATTAAGTCTCACATTATTTAACTAATCTTAAAAAATACATAAAAATTACTATATTTAAACTCCCAAACCCACTCGCCCCTCTCCTTTATTTCTCTTTTTTATTATCAATATACTTTTTACAGTTTCTATCTATTTTCCTGAAAGTTTAGTGTCTCTCCTTTTTTTTTTTCTGAGACATTTAGGCCATTTAAGGCAAACTCACACACACAACGCATACACATGGACTCGAACCTTGGACCTCTTAGTTGGAAAAGCCTAAGCTCTCAACCAATAGGCCAAGGGGAGTTGTGTGTGTCTCTCCTTTCCTTCGGTTCTTTCAAGTTCATATTTTTTTTGATAAGATAAATAAATAAGTTTGAACACATTTGATAAATACTCGATAGCTAAATAAAAAAGTTTGAACCTAGCATTCGAATAATTTATGTTTACGAACAATATCATTTAGAGCTCGTAAGTCTGCTCATTAAGAAACCCAATTATACCTTATTTAATTAAAAAAAAAATATTTTTTTTAACTAATAAGATAATTAAGTCTCACGTTATCTAACTAATCTTAAAAAATACATATAAAAATTTACTATATTTAAACTCCCAAACCCACTCGCCCCTCTCTCTCTCTCTCCTTTGTTTCTCTTTTTTAATTATCACCCACCTCTCTCTTCTAAATTCCTGGCTATCTCCCTCTCTCTCTCTCATCCGTGGCATCAACAAAAAAAAACTATTGATGATTTAGTTCCACACCACCACCTAGACTAGAGAGATTTTGCTCTACATAAAAAAAAAAAGATGTTATGGGCATTTGCTAAACAACGGGCAGCTAAGTCTTTGGTATATTGATTGGCTTAGTTTATGATTTCATTTTATCTGGACAAGCCGAACCACCAGCTTGTCAACGAGAGGCTCGATGAGGCTTGTTATCAAGCGGCTCGATAAGCATAAATAATTGAGCTCTAAATTGAACACGAGCCAAGCTTGAGCATGAGTTTTTAAACGAGCTCAAACTTGAACAAATGCCATAAAGGCTAGATTTTTAATGAGCCAAGCTCGAACAGGATGCTGTCAAATGAGCTTGAGCTTGAACATGCTAAAAGTTGGCTCAACTCAATTCATTTGTAGTCCTAGTGGCCAGTTGTCATGGCTGGCATGACCATTAGTGAGAGTTATTTCAAAAGATACTCAAAAAAAGCTAAAATTTTAAAAATAACTTAATTTATTTTTAAAAATACAAAACAGCCAAAAATAAATAAATTAAACAAACATATTTAAAATATAAAAAATAATAAAAAAAAACCTTTAATGTTTCTGTACAATAAGAAATCAAAATGAATAAAATATGCCAACAGCAGCATCCTGAACTGAAAAAAACAGGCACATAGTAAGAACAATGCTTCTGCTAAGGGTTTGATAGTAATAAAGGACTCCATTCCTACTCGGATAGCTGAGGAGAATATGAAAAAGCACTATAGTATGTATCAAGTTCAAGCTGTTCTAGGATTTTGGGAACGGTAGACAAATATGAAGAGTGACCATCAATAAGTCCAGTAACATCAACCTGCAATGAGAATCAATCAGTCATAGTAGAAAATGCACAAAGAGAGATAACAAGAGAAAATAAGAGAATTTGCACTTTTAGCATATAATTCAACAAAGTATGATGTAATAAGAAGAATATTGACATTACATTCTCAATTCCAGGAAGATCAACAGCTTGAATGCCAGCCAAACCTTGGGTGAGCAGGCTGCACAATAGAAAATAGGAATCTTCGATAAGCCTCAACACTTTCAGTTTGGAAATAAGTGTTACTTTGGCTTCGTTTGGGATGGCATTCTTATTGCTTCTTAAAGCGGCGTTTTAGTATAAAAGTTTTATTTGTTGTACTAGAAAGCTGCTTTAAGAAGTAGTAAGAAAGTTGTCCCAAACGAAATTTTAGCTGTTCAAAAAATGAAGAATACCTTGCACGAAAAGTCACTCCAAGTATCCAGTCATTTGTGGAATATATATTTATGAATCTCCCAGCAACCATCTACAGGATGATAAAGAAATAAATTGATCGCTCCAATAGATTAAATCAACATCATAACAATATCAAGGGCTTGTTTCTTACATAATAGGTATAAGGTCAAACTTTGGCGCAGTTAATAAGGAATGCTTTGACAAAATTATCATAAAAAACATTAGTTTGATTCTACTTGAATGAGCAATAAAAGTTACAAGTTTCAAGGCACCTTAGAGTATTGGTTGGGAGCTTAGGCTTCCAACTAAGGGGTCTTGGATTCGAGTCTTTGTGTATGCGTTCTATGTGTGAATTTGACTTAAATGGCCTAAATGTCCCAAAAAAAAACTATTAGTGTGCATGGTTGAATTAAGCGAGAAAGGAGAGAGCCTCGAGGCACTCGTTGTGCTTTAGAAAAAGAACAAAGAAACAAATTTATCGGTGGTATCTTTTCCTGCCAGCTGAAAATATAGCTGGACAATACGCTTTTTGCTGATTTTTTAAACTGGGGAAACATGCAAATAAATTTTCTAATCAATTACCTTAAGAGACTTGGGCTTTATTTGGGACAGCTTTTGACTATTATTTTTTGTTGTTTTCAAAAAAAATTTGAACTATAAAATTAAAGAAAAAAAAATATGAAGAAAATTGTCCCAAACAAAACTTTCGTGTTGCTCTAAATCTGAATTTAACAAAGCGTTTGGACAATATGAGCCATATGTTATCATAAGAAAGTTCAGGCAACTGACAAGGCAAAGATTTCAAGCTATGTAATCAATACCAAATTTGAAGAAACTTCAATGCCATCAATTTAGGAATGATAACGAGTCAAGTTAAAGCTGGCTAGTCTCAATTCCAATTAGACCAATTATAATTCAGCTCACTTCAAGTTTTATTCAGATAAAAAATAGTCAATTTTGATTCTAGATTCGAGCTGATTCAAGACAATCCTACAATGTTAAAAAGCATTTTTCTAAATTTCAAATCTATGAGTTTCAAGCTGATTGATCGTTAAATGTCTAAACACCACAATGAATAGCTTATCTCCACTAATTTTCATTAAATAAGTTTATAGTATGAGCAAATTGATTCCAATTTTATGAATTGAGGAATTAAATTAAACATCTGAAAAAAATCTACCTAAAATTGACACAATTAAAAAAAGACTAGGGACCATTTTGATTATTTACACTATTGCAACTAGGTGTAGAATAGGAATTCTTCTCCTTTGTGTCAATTTTTATCAAACTGATGAATACACATTGAGTCAATTTTAATTAAAAATTGACTCAATGTGTATTCATTTATGCATTAATGAATCAATAAAATTGACACACCTTAGAAATTTTTAATTGAATCAAACTGATTTCAAGAAATTTTTATCTGAGAGTCAAAATGATTTCAAGCAAAGCATGTCTTGAGTTGAAGTAAATCAATTTTAATTTTATGTTGACCAATGAGTTTCAAGTTTCAAGCATCATCATCTTCCCTGGTTATCCTACAGAGTGATTTAAAGATAGTCAATTCAAATATTTTCATATCATGTAGTAAATATATCAATTGTTTGTTATTGTCAAAGTATGCTTGGGCAATTGAGTTTAGGTACAAGATGAAAAAGTTGAACAAAAACCTATAGATACCTTTCTAGCAGTAACCCATTCTTCATCTTTTAGTTCGATCGGCGCCCCGAGGAGAACGACTCTTTCTACTAGTCCTTCTGATGTACGCAACAAGCATTTTTATTTTTCACATTTAAAACAACTTGAATGATTGAGATTATGAAATATCAATAATTACCATTGTCTCCAGATTTAGCCAGATGTTGTAAACACTTAAATATAACCCTTGCTCCTAATGAAAAACCAAGGAGAGTCACTGGCCTGAAAGTTACATGCAAGACAGGGAAATTGCTTCAAAGAAAATCACTCATGTATGAAACCTAACCAAATAATAACCGTGTTTTAATTTACCTATTTCCCTGTAGTCCCTTAATCAATGTTTCAGCAAGAAGCTTTCCAGCCTTGTCTGATCTGGGAAAGGGCAGTCAAAATTTGACATTAATTAAGCAGTTTATTTGAGCAAAAATTCAATGTTAACTGGGAGAATGAATCCGCAAATTCAAAGCCCCAAGCATCAGAGGAAAAAAAAAATAAGTACCAAAAGATGTTGCAAACAACTTTACAACAATTTCTGCGCGTTTGGATAGGGTGAGGGATGGGGGCATTTTTAGTTTTCATTTGGGACAGTGATGTAGAACGAAAAGGGCTTTGCTAGGGACAAATCTCCTCTCCGAATTTTGAGAACACTTTCAGCTTTTGTTCCCCAAAACCTGAGAGAATTCAGGTTTCTTTCTTGAAAGAGGAGGGAGAACAAGCACCAACTCCTCTTGTAGAACCTGAAAACAGTTTCAAATTCCAAACATCTCTTGCACTTAGAAGAGACAATAAACTCCACGTCTCTTGACCAAAGTCTGAAAATAGCTTCAAATTTTGGGATCCCAAAATCTAAGAAAATTTCAGATTTTTCTGAAAGAGGGTGGGAATTGGAGGCAGGAAACTTAGTTGATGATTCCTTTTGAAACAGTTAAGAGGGAGAGAGGATCGGAGAGAGGGAGAACTGAGGCAGCGGGATGTAGAGAGGGGTCAAGGAATTATTTCCTTGAATCCGTGAAATGAGTTAAGGAAATAAAATAGGAAATAAAGTCCAGGGTCTGAAAAATTCCAATGGCACTCTCAGATTTTGGGAAAGCAAAGAATGGCGGGCTGAATTGTGGGAACAGAAATTTGAGCTGGGCCTTGGAAATTCCGGTCAAGTGAAGGGGGAAAGAATTGGAATTTTTTCCATTAGAAGAGATGGGTTTTAGGAAACAAATCCAATTCAATTCTTTAGAGGGGAATCTGTGGGATTTTCTATTCCTAAATCACTGAGTTGATTTGGGAATTAGATTAGGAAATAATTTATTGAAACTTGAATTGCTATTGAAGGGGGGGCCGACAGCTTTTAGAAGGGAAATAGAGATTAAATTCCAACGGGGAGAATATGAGTAGGGAAGGAATTAAATGAGGTGGGGACGTGGGGTGTTCAACCAAGCAAGAATTAAGGAGCAACTAATGTGGAGATTTAAGGCTCATTGATTTGAATTAAAGTTAGATTAAAATAAAAACTTTCCCAAAACAGGAGAATTATTTTAGGAAATAATTTTGAAATTCAAATTCAACGAAATTTGAATTTCCGGAATTATCCCTTAATCAATTCATACCCAAAGAGGAGATTTATGAGATGGTAGAGAGCTCAATTAAACTCAATTTGAATTTGAAATTCAAATTGAGTTAATTAAGAAACTTTCCTAAAATAGACTATTTAAATTAGGAAAGATTTTGAAAATTCGCAATGATAAATTTTGAATTTCAAAACTTTCCCACATTCAATTTAATCTAAAATAGGAAATAAAATTGGATGGGGGAAAAGGAGAGGAGTGGTCGGCGGCTAAGAAGATTAGGGGGTCGGCGGTTGTGGTCTTGGCCGGCGGCCAATTGAGGACGGATGGAGGTGGCCGAGGCTATGGGGAATTTTTAGTAGAGCTTGGTGTATGGAGGAAGTTGGGGGAAATTTGGTGGAGTTGGATGTGACGAGGACGAATGATGGAAGGTGGCGAGGGAAGACGGAATAAAGAAAACAAAAACCAAAGATAGAAGATAAAACGAAAGAGAGAAAACAAAAATCGCGAGCCTCGGACTCTTCCGAAGACTAACGGATGATCTGTTGCCCTTCTCCGAGGGACTTCAAATCACGAGCCCGGACCCATCCTGGGCTGGTGACAACTCTGATTCCTCTCATAGAAATCTCACTACGTTCTCTCCAAAGAACAAAAGTGTGGAATACAAAATTTTTAATATCAATCAACCATCCTTATTACAATAGCTTAAGGCCCTATATATAAGCCACATCATGAGAAAAACAAAAATTACAAAAATGCCCCTTGGGCCACCACACTCAAATAAACTAACCTAGGGGTAAAACAGGAAATAACATAAAATAAAAGCTAAACTTCATAAAATAAATCATAAATGACAACGTAAATTAGAGCCGTCGATTTACGACGCCTCCTGTGATAGATGCGCCAAATCTTCGTGCCGATGTCCGCATCAGACAGCTTTCTTATTGCTTCTTAAAGAAGCTTTCTAGTACAAAAATTAAAAAGCTGTCCCAAATTTTTGTACTAGGAAGTTGTTTTAAGAAGAAAAAAAAACCGTCTCAAACGAAGCCTTAGTTTTGATAGAAAAGTAGTTAGTAGCATTACTGCTAAATAATGCCCCCAAATAAAAATGCCAACATAAACAGGGTGGACCAGCAGGGTAGCATAAACAGGGAGTGTCAGCATGCCTACATATTAGAAAATCAAAGCCAAAAGTGCACTCGAATCATAAAGAAGCTGTTATTGCACCTATCAATGGCAATTGTCCATTTGCTGTCTATAAAATCAGTAGCTGAAAGTAATGCAGCTGGCCATGCTAAGGCAATAACAAGAGAATTTAGAACTGTCAACATGGCACCTCCTTTCATCAGCTCCCTTGTCAAGGCTGCACAAGGAGACATAAGGTCAAGGAATGCAAACGGCATTGGAACAAGGCAAGTGAAACAGAACGGAAAAAAAAAAAAAGTGAAACAGAACGGAACTTCTTAAGGCTTCGTTTGAGACAGCTTTTTTATTACTTCTTAAAATTTTTGTATTAAAAAGCTATTTTAAGAAGCATGAAGAAAGCTGTCCCAAACGAAGCCTAAGAAAGAATGTCTGGCAATTTACTTGAAGTAAGCCAATCCTGAATAGCAGTGCTAACAGCAACCAGATTCTTGGACTCCCATTGAAGAGCATACCTGTTGACATCAATGTAGCAAGATTGAAATCAAACCAAACCAAACAGTAACAGAAGCAGAATAATCAACTAGCGTACCATCCTATACGGCATATACATTTAATAAATATTCCCAGCCAGGAAAAGTGAGGTAAAGTGGAAGAATGGAAGGAATGGTCTAAAAATTATTCACAAGCAAACTTCAAGTCTATAAATCCATCACACTCAGTGCATGATCCCATAACTATATAGTCGAGGGAGACGATAATGCATGAAACCTCACCTCTATATACTACTACTGAGAAACCATTTTTTTTTTAATTAAGCCCACAACCTCCACATTATAATGGAGACGATCTAAACATTTCTCCAAGCTGAACCTCAAATCAAATAAAAAATAATGCGCATCGAAATATAAAATAAGCAGTTTTATACAAAATTAGGCGAAAAGAAGAAAATAAAACCATGGATTACGAAAAATATGAAAAAAAATTCCTCTCTTATGCAACTGTTAATCACACAGACCAGCATGGTTAGCCAGCAATAAAAGTGCTTTGTATGGTACTTTTTAACTAATATCAGGTATAACTATCACTGGGGTTTTTGGATAGACTAACTAGAACTCATCACGTATCATACTCAGTCTAAAGCAAAGATTAAGTGATGGCGTTATTGTTATCTTGATAAGCATGCGTCATAATCAGCAGAAAGAGCACACTAATCACAACTGCTTTGACTTTAGCTTTGTGAATCCTTCCTTATCATTCATCCCAAATGTCATACCGCAGTACAAGAGTAAGTTTAAGCCTGGCAAAATGGTGCATGATGCAAGGCATGCTATTTTTATAAAAAAATGAAACTCGTAATGATGGGGACATCAAAGCATGAATCAAGGCGTGGCCGTCGATCTAAGGCCACGATCGAGTCGTTGTATTTTGTTTTAGTCATTTTCATGTATTTGTCGTTTATTATGTTATTTGTCGTTTATTATTTATGTTTTAATTATTTTCCCGTCTTACCCCTTTACTTAAAGGAGGTCGTATGTAAGCCCTAAGGGCATTGTTATCTTCTTATTTTGAGTCCTTTTGTAAGAGGCTATTTATAGCCCTCATGCTGCTCTTCATGAATTAATGAATGAGTATTATGAGAAATTTCTTGTCCTTGTGTTTTGAGAGTGTTTGAGAGTTCTTGGAGAGAACTTTGGAGAAATCCCTAGGAGAGGGGGATCGGATCACCCACCAACCTTGGAGACGGCCGGGTTCGTGGTCTTTCTTTATCTTTTGTCTTTCCTCCTTCCACCACCACCACCGTACATCATTACACCCAAACCCTTCTCCATCTCCAAGCCATCGTCTCCTTCCAACCGAGCTCCAAACATATTCCCCACTTCGCCTTACCGCCGGATTCGCAACTTTACCCGAGCCCCTACTCCCCCACATCATCCCAAGGCCAAGTTCCCACCTGAGCCAGCCGCCGGCTACAGAATCTAACCACGGGCCACAATCCAGCCAACTCCCCTCATACAGTTTCCTAATTTGGTGTACTCACCAACCCTTTCCACCGCCTCAATTCTCTCCTGCCAGCTTTTCTTTCCTATCCCATTACAAAAGCTTATTTGGAACCTCAGGTTACTCCCCAAGTCTCTAATTCCTATGCCTAAGAGTCTGAATCTTCTCATCAGATATTGGAAAACAAAATAACTGGAATTGTTTTCAGATTTTGGGGTTTTGGTCCACTATTCTCTCAAGGTCTTAAGAGAAATTTCTTTCTCTTTGATTGTTTTCACAAGTGTTCCATCAAGTGTGAAGAGTTGATCATCAAGTACTCATGAATGGCGAATCCGACAACTGAATTCGATCTGGAAATAAAATACGACTTCTTCTACGACAAACTTCTTCAACATCCAGGCGATTTGTTTTTTAACTTTGACTAAGGTGAACTCCTCCCCTCTTTTCAATTATTTTCCTAATCCCCTAATTTTGTAGGTGATGACGAATCAAAAGGAGCCGTGCTTCACCTTTGCCTAAGCTTAGTAGACGTAAGATTGAGTGCACTTTTATTTGTTTCTAATCTTATTGTTAGATTAGGGATTTTTGTTGAAAACTATTCTATTGGCATGACTTGATTTCCTATGTTGTTTTGGTAGTCCAAGTGCTTAGTGTACAACTTAGCCTAAACAGAAGTGACCACTCTTATGTTTTATTTGTTCGTTTGACTTTGGTAATAGTCTTAATTTTAATTGCTCTTAACAATAAATCGTGCAAATTCTTATTTCATCCATTTAAGCATTTAGTCCTGCATCACATAAACATAATTAAGAATATTAATTATTGTTCAGAAAAGTGCCCTTAAAATTAAAATAATAATAATAATAATTTCACATAATGCTTTTCAATATGCATGAAAAATGTCATATGAAACATAAAACTCCAAAAAAAAAAAAAAACAAGTAATTTTCAATACAATACCAGTAGAAAAATGAAATAAATGCAAAATAAGCTACCTAAACTTAAATGAAATCCCGTACTCAATGACACATAACAACAAGCGATCTCCACTCTCCAGTATTCTTAGTCAAATTCTCATTTAAATCTAATAAAAAAATATCATTTTTAAAAGATAAAGAAAAGTGAAATTTAATTTAAGCTCTAGAAGTGAGGTAACAAGTACTATCATGCTTTCATGAAAAAAAATGAAGGAAAATTAGCATTTGTTATGTGGACTATTACCATAGGAATTTTACTAGATTAGAAGTTACTAATTATTAATTCTTATGCCATTATTCTTAGTGATTATTATCCCTTTTCCATTCCACCTCTTGTATTTACCTATACACAAGTAACATAATATAGTAAAATAATCAAGTTATTTATAGAACACCTCTCAACATGGTAGCAGAGTGGAGCCACTCAACCCTACCAGCACACCTCCCCTTCTTCCCTCTAGTTCTCAAACTTAGCCATCAATCTCACCCACACCACCTTTTGCTCGAATTTTCTTGTCACTTCCTCACCACTTGCACGCTATGCTTACCACATTCACTGGCCTCCAACTGCACCCGCACACGTGTCTGCATGATGTGATTATCACCCACATAGAATGCTCATATTTTCTTATCACTTCCTCATCGCCTGCTATGCTTAAGACTCAAACTTGCTTCCAACTGCACCCGCACATATGTTATGCCCTCTTCACTTGCGGCACTCACCTGCTATGCTCGATTCCTCATTCGTAGGATGTCCTGCATGTTTAGCTTGGCTATTGCGCTTGATGCTCCCATACGCTGATGATCTTGCATTTGGTCCATCGTCATGTTTCAAATGAACACTCTAGAATAATTTTGAGAATAAGTCGTTCTTATAGCATGCTTCTTAATTAATCATGCCCTCCATCACTCTAAATGGGGGTGCTCCTTTATTCTTTTTTTTTTTATTAACATAAAACTGTTTCCTCCAACTCATATTTTTAGTTGTGCTTATTTTTTCTACTCCATCCTTGATGTAATAAAATGTCTCCTTGGGCCATTAACTTTATTTTCATGGGTTATTTTTGTACTAAAAAAGTTATCATTGTCATGATCCCTCTATCGATCCCCTTTTTGTATCTAATAGACTAATAGTATTACCTTTCATGGAACTTCCCCTTACAATCTTCCGACCTCATTTGCTATACAATTTCTTCCCGATTTTTCATTTCCACCTCATGCTCCAGTACTTGCTCCTCCGCTATAGGTTTATACTCACTAGAACTCCTAATCCACCTCCTAACATTCCATCTACTAAAACTAAGCATCAATATACAGTTGTAACCTCCAATTCCATCTCCCAATTGCACTTTGGAAAGGCATGGAACATTGTATTAACTACCCAATACACTTTACATCCATTGAACACTTATCGACTTTGTTTCATTATTTTTCCTTCGCTCTTTCGGTTGTCTCTATTCCCAAGATTACAAGAAGCACAACTCAATCCTAACCACGCACATAAAATGGATATTGAAAATGGGGGCTCTCAGTCATCACAACTAAGACTTGGTCACCCTCTGCTGATGTAAAATCCATCTCCTGTAGGAGAAGTTTCATGAATAAGTTTCACCCTGATGGAACTATTGATCGTTATAATGCTCGATAGGTGATTGAATGATATTTGATACATATATTTATGAAATTGACTATTTTAAAATTTCCCCCCTAATTGTTTGGCTAAATTTTGCTCGTCCCATTATCTATAAGGCCATAAATACAAGATGGATCTTACTCCAAATAGATATTAACAATGTCTTTCTTTATTAAAACCTTTTTAAAGCAGTTTATATGGAGCAATCTCCTAGATACGTTGCTCAAGAAAATAACAAAATCTGAAAGCTTTGAAAAGCTATATATTGGTTGAAACAAAGTTCTCATGACTCAAAGCTATAAACTCAGCAAAGTCTTTATTGATGTTAGTTTTCGAAGCAATTCAATGGACCACTCATCCTCCATTGGACCTCTGGTAGTAAATCATTATTGTGTATGTTAATAATTTTCTTCTCGCTAGAATTGAGACTTCTTGAATTGAGAGATAAAGTAATACTTCAGAAAGCATTAACTACAATAAATGTGGGACGTCCAAATTACTTTCTTAGCATTGAGGGGTCTTACAAAAAAAAGAGTGTTTCACTTTCTCAAAGTAAATAAGCCATTGACAGACTGGGTTTCTAAGGTTTGCCCTACTAGGTCTCTTATGAATAAGCTACAAAGCACAAACTTCCAATGATAAGAAAAACTTCAAAGATACTATTCGTTATAGTTGATAGGTTGGTAAAATAATTTATTTACTGTCACTCAACCTGATATTTTTTATTGATATTGGTGTGGAATCTCACCATTTGCAAAAAGCAAAGAAGAAATGCTAGAATGTCGTCTTAAAGATCTTAAGGTATATTAAAAAATCTTAGGGAGGATGAATGATTTATTAGATGCACAACCATTTAAAAATAAAAGCTTAATTTGACTATGGTTGTGATGAAGCCATTGAAAATTGGAAGTCTACTTTAGAAATTGTGTTTCTATGGTCGAAAATCTTGTCCTATGAACAGCCAAAAAGCAAACTATTGATGCTAGATCTAGTGGTAAAGCTAAATGCAAGGTTATGCTACATTTTTCCTGTGAAATGATGCGCATTAAAAATCTTTAATAAAACAGATTTTTAGTTGCTCAGCTCATGGTTCATAAGTGTGATTAATCAAGAAGTAATTCAAATTACTAGCAACCTTTTTTCCACAAGAAAATAACCATACTTAAATTGATTGCACTTCATTAGAGATACAGTTCTATCTAATAAGATTATCATTCCACGTCTCCAACAAAGAACATATGATAGATATTTTTACAATGGCACTAAAGCTACTTCATTTCTCCAATCTTTGCAGCAATTGGATTTTTATAATATCTATATGCTTCAATTTAAGAGGAAATGTTATTGCAGGAAATTTATCAAATTGGAAATATGTGATTATTAGTTATTCTATACATCTCTTATCTGAGATATTCTCCCAATCATGTTTTTCAATTATAGCTCTTGCATAAGTATATATAAAAACTAAGACTTATAGCAAAATAATCAAGTTTTATTTCCAAACAATTCTCAACATGCGCTATGTGTAAAACAAAGATTGTGGGCATTGGATTGATCCTACAAATTTGTACATCACTTCACTAAAGGTATAGAAGATGTACCACGCCACATCTTGTGCTATGATGTGCGCTATTGACAAGTCTGATCATTATTAGCCTTGATCTAATAATAAAGGAAAAACATATTGAAGAAAAAGTACATAAAGGATAATATTAAGTATGTTGCTTAATGGTTTATCTCAGGAAAAGTATGATATAATATTCCAAAAACAAAGGATCATGTACCTCTCTAGGTTATCTTCAAATGCCTCCCATGGACTAACAAAATCACTTTCCTTGAACACAAAACCAGACACCACAATACCAACTGCTAAACGCTGTGAAGAAAAGGAACTTGTCGACATTCAAAACTCTCAGAGACAGTTTATAAAGTCAGAGGTATGGAACAGAAAGGATAAACTTATTCAAAATAACCTTCCAAATTTAATAAAAAGTGAATTGTTACTCACACCCTGATTATGGTTTCCTCCAACAGGTATAAACTCAAATTCTTCAATATCTCCTATTCTTCTGGCCATTTTACTTCCCGAAAGTCCAGCTCCAGCAGCTGAATTTGAAAGCGATAAAAACTAATAAAACACAACAATAAATTTTGAATGGTAAAGGTTTAAGAAAATATAACTGGATAATTCCGGACACAGTTTTTTATGCAACATAACACAAACTGCATAGTTTACAAATTAAACCTTATTCATCAACTACAAGCAACCTCCACTTGCAGTCTTTCTTTTTTTTATTTTGTTTATGGGGAGCTGAGGTATCAGAGTTCTTTATTATCAAAAAAGGAAATTCATGTTTTGAAAATAAAAATCTTGATCAATGAAACAACTTCAGTTATATTTTTTAAGGCAAATATACAACAGTAGAACTTGATCCAAGATCACTTTTTGTTCGAGCTATCCGCAGAAAAATAAAGCTTCCCCGAGACCAAACCTTCATTATAAGCACAAATGATGAGGTAATCATTGACTTACTCTTCAAGAAAAATGTAGTTCTGTAGCTAGTTCCTTAAGCATGCATTGTGGTTGTGTGAAATCATTTGATCATCAAGTACAAGTTAAATCAGCAGTAAAATTATCCTTAAACAGCTGATATTTTCCTTTAAAATGTTCATTTAATAACAGTGACTAAGCTGATCAACACCTCACATCTCCGTAGAACACACAGATCAATGCCATCAAGAGTTTCCAAGATAATTTTATTCCACGATTGTGATCCCCATTTCTTTGATACTCCAATCCAGCTATTTGTTGACACCAATCTGGTGAGTTTCGTCAAATCCAACAAATGTAAATTCTAAACAGACAAATAAGATAACACCTCTAGAATGAAAGGTTGCCTATGATGGACGAGCGTAACCAGCACAGTGTAACGCAAATTCTCAAAAAATAAAAAACATTGGTGGGCAAAACACATGTGTTTTTTTTTGCCGCCCCCCAATGTTTTTTATTTTTTGAGAATTGGCATTAATATATATATATATATATGGTAACTTATTGTCAATGAAAAATAATAGAATAACTTCACATTCTCCTAATACTAATGCTAACAAATAATGATCAAATCACCAAAAAGCCTTGACTCGAGGTATAATCTTTGATTTTTAATACTAGCATTGATTCTGAATCATGAGGCTGTGACATGAAGGATTCTTCTTCATATTCCGGTTTAAACTTGTACCTGGCCTTGTAAAAAAAAAAAATTTATAATCATCACTGTTCCAAGTTTATCATTAATAAAATATTCGAGATAGGCTTTTCTTCTTCAAAAAAAATATTCGAGCAAATCCTTATTTTACATTTAATAAGAAAATTTCAACAAAAGAGTCTTCTATATCCACAAACTGAAGTAATAATTTATATATTATCTACTGTCATTCAAAGAAAAAATATGGACTCAAACTACCCCTCACCCAATAAAATAAAAAAGGTTAAAAAAGATCATCGTGTGGAAGACATGCCACATCATGTCAGATATGTGAGAAAATTAGTTCTCTTTTAAGATTGGACACAACGGTCATATCTAACACGTTAGCATCATGTCTAAGGGTACTAAATGTCCTTTTAATTTGAAGTGTCCAAGCAAACTAAGGTTGCTGTTGACCTGCATCTTATATCCAAAAGAAATAAAAAGAAAGAAGCTCAAAATCTTACCTTGACTATCGGATCCAAGAATCCCGCTGGCAGAGTCGCTCCCGCAAATCCCGCTCCGTACCTCGTATCCGTCAAAAAACCTGCCGAAATCCCGCTGATTCGGCGCCGCTCGAGTCGTATCCCACGAATCCTGCTCAAACTCCGCTCGAGGAGGTTCATTCGCGTCGTTAAATAGCCACCCGAGCGAAGCTTTCGGTTGCTCTTCGACTCTCGACTCCCTCCTCACTCTCGCTCTCCCTCCGATCCTCTGCTTCCACGACCGAACTCCACCAGGCCGAAACCCCGCCTCCTTCCTTCTTTCTCTGCAAACCGACCCAGATCTCCTTCCCGAGCCCGTCACCTCCGACCTACTGGTCTCTTTGAGCCGCAGAGAGAGGGAGAGAGAGAGAGAGAGACGGATTTTCCATACCTGCAGCCGTCCGATCCCGTCCAGAGAACCCGACCTCCTCTCTGTGCTGCCGCCGCCTCCTCCCTTGTCGTTCGACTCCACTCCTTCGAAGACTTCTTCCTGTCGAATCGGAAGGAAGTACCGGAGCTAGCTGGCTGTGAAGGTAACTTGATCCCTTTCACACGCAACTTCAGCCAAATCCCGTAACTCCACCGAGCTAAGAGGGTAAAGGGAGGATTTAACTTGATGTGGGGTTGAGTATTTAATAAATCCTACTTAAATCTTTTTAGATTTTTGTTCAATTAATTTGATTATAAATGATTATACTTAATTATATTTAATTATGATTAATACAACACCTCAAGATATTTTGTTAAAAAATAAATAAATAATTGATTTAACAAGAAGTATTCATCAAATTACATAAATTTCTTTTTTTTATTTTAAAAAGACAAATTTGCATTGTTTAACCATTTTTACATTAGATGGAGATAAAGAACTTCTTGGTTTTTCCTCCTTGCAGCATACAAGTTTATTCTAATGCTTCAAAATGCTGATTCAAAGAGTTAAATTGCGTTCTCCTAGCATTTTTTGTCTAACCTTGCCCAAAATTAAATAGGGAAGAATACCCAAAAACTGAGCATATACCAGAGTATCATGTACCTGTAATAAAGCACCTTGCTCCTAGAGAAACAGAGTGCTATTCTTGCATTAAGCAAGATAAAAAGCCACAACTGCACAATTTCATATCAATTTTTGTTTCAATTCATCAGTAAGAGAGTGTAACCGAAAAAGACTTAAGTAAAAATATCATCAAAACTTTTAACAGCTAATGTCCAATGATTCCGTGATTACCATCATAACAAAGATTTCCATGAAAGCTTTGATGTTAACTTCGATATTTTGATGCAACATAGACACTCCAAATGTAACTACAGAAGCCTTTGATCTTTTTAGTTCATTAATTTTCAAGAGTAGATGTTTCTGCTAACAAAAAACACTTAACTTTTGTGTCAGAACTGTTAGTCCTAGCAAGGAAGACCATGCTAATTTTAAAAGTGATCTCATTTATGTAAACCAACTACCACTCCAACAAGCTCAGATCTTCTAAAAATATCAGCTTATAGATGCTAATATGCTAACAATATGAGCATAGACAATAGTAAAGATTAATCTTTCAATAAAGAAAGAGAAAGAGATAAGTGTGGGGGTTGATGTGTTTGCATTAAAATGTTTGCTTGTTTACGTATATCATAAACTTTTGGTATTCTTCTTGCTTCTTCCTAATTCAAATTCAATTATTTATCATGGAAGAGAGCTAGCAGAGTAGCAATAGACCAAATACTATGTCAAGGGTAATTTCAGTAGATATATAATTTTATTTTATTTTATTTTTCTTATCCCATAGACTTCCATTTTTTCTAGTGTTAAGGAAGCAAGAACTTTTACACGTATAAATTGCCACCAAAAACGTGCAAGGGTGGGAAAGACAGTGAAACAAACATGTAAAATATGTGTAGAGTAACAAAGGATTATGCAAGAACATGTCCTGAGTCTTCATAATAGTATTCTTTGAAGTAATTTGAATTTTAAAAAAATTAAACTAACAGGCATGAAGTTGGGCAGCAGAAGTTCACACCTCCAAATGAAGCAGCAACAGCTACAGAACCAGCAACTGATCCTGCAGCACTAGCTACCGCAGCAAAGCCACCTGCTCCAATAACAGGAACCAGAGTTCCTAATGTGGGAGCCAGAGCGCCAAAGCCTGCAGCAATTGCTGGAGCAGCTAAACCTGTTGAATATGAAACAACAAATAAAGATTTATTGCCATCTATTGATAACATCGTCTTAAAAAGTCACTCCAAAACTTGTTTTCTTGCGCTTCAAGGCAAATCTCTCGGAAACAATTTAAGGCTATAGGCTTGAAGCTTATCTTTTTGAATGCTACAATGCAATAGCTTGGTTAAATGGTCTGCAAATAATAATGAAACGTTCACATGCTACTACCGACTTCATCCACAATTAAAACCCCTTGTTATTGTGTAGTTTTTTAAGAATTTTTTTTTCTAAAATACATGCTCCCTATTTGTAAGGACCCAATAAATCATTTAGCTATGTGAGAGGCATTAATAAGAAATCAATGGCTGATCAAAACATTTTAACAGATTATCTCTTACTTGATCTAGTTATCTAATTTGATGTGGCTTAAAAAGGGCAAGTTGCTTAAAAACTAAATAATTAATCAAATGATGTTAAATATAGAAATTTGAGAGAAAATTTATGCAAGAAAGGTTATTCACATGTGTTTATTTTAAAATGCTAAAATATATATTCAGTATGTTATAGATAATACTTACAAAAATTATGAAATATTATACTTATATTAATTTAGAATACATATACACCCGCATAAGTTGGTTAGGGCATCAAGTGGCACAACAAAGAGCAAGTAGGGAGGCAAAGCGAGAGTCGGGGGTGAGCATGAGAGAGCATACAAGCGTCTTCAATGGTGAGCAACAAAGCGTGATCTGACAATTATACAAGGGAGCTAGTAAACGTGTTGCTAGCGGGTAACACGCATGTGAGGATGATGACTGTTTGTCTACAATAAGCGTTTTGAATTGACTAGGGAAAACCAATGAAAGAGAGTAAATTGAGAGGTAATTTGGTGACTTGCAAAGGGTGTGAAGCAGAGAAGTTAACACTGGCTAATTATCAAATCTTTATCTAGAAAAAAATATATTCAAATTATTATTATACTTCACCTTTTTTATGTTGAGCTTTCATTCAAACTTATTTAAAGTTAGCCATGATCTAATATGAGGAAAAAGGTTAAGTTGTCTGAAAACTGGTATTTTAAATCAAGCTGAAGTCCTCAATGCCACATCACTAATGCCACCTCATATTAAGACATCAAAGTCCGAGTCAAAGCTAGCAATGACCAAACCACTTATTGTCGATTTAAGTGTGAAACTTCATCTTCAAGAGCAGCATTCAACTGAATTATTAGTCCTCGAACTTCTAAGATAGAGTTATGAAGGCTATAACTAGTTTAAAAGTGTATTTATTGTAGTTTGATCACCATTTGGTTTCCTTACATTGTTTTGCGTTCTCCTTGTCTAATGCTTATAAATATCATAAATCATGTAGACAATAATCCCTTGATGAAATAGAAATAAGATTGAAAAAGCATTTCTCCCTCCATGGAAAAGCTTGATGGCTATTCCTTTGTTCCACATTTAAGTAACCTAGAACAACCACTCTTTGGTGAGAGAGCTTATGAATGCTGAAAAAATCATGAATTTGTGGCAAATACCTTTCCATTTATAGCAACCAAACAATCGATATGGGTGGAAGCTTTTTATCAATAGCAATACAACAGTGTGAAAACAGCTTTATATTTACAGCTATCAACCAATCTATAGACACCATCTTCTTTGTTTCTCAGCCCGCTTCTTTCTGATCGATTCTCCCTAGTTAGTATTCGTCCGGTCCTTCTTCTATACTTCTAGCAACCTTATTCGTTATTCTCCCTCATCTTCTTCTTTGCAATACAGAACGACCTCATCACAAACATCCGACATTATGGCATCAGAATAAGGAAGCAGTTCAGAAATTCCAAACCTTAATGGCAGTGATTCTTCTCCTATTCTCATCACATGACACAAATTAAATGGTCGTAATTATTTGCAATTGTCACAGTGTGTGTTACTGTTCATTTGTGGTAAGGGAAAGGAATCAAAGGATAAGTATCTTACAGGAGCAGTAGCCATACTAGAGACTATAGATCGAGCTTTCAAAAAATGAAAGACTAAAAATAGTACGATTATGCCATGGCTTATCAATTCCATGAACAATGACATAGGTGAAAATTTCTTGTTGTTTGGGACTACAAAAGAAATATGGGATGCAGCAAAATAGACTTACTCCAACTCTTAAAATACTTCAGAGTAGTTTCAGGTTGAATCAGTACTTCATGACTTCCTTCAAGGAGATCAGTCTGTTACTTAGTACTACTCACATAGAATTGGCAACAACTTGACTTATTTGAAACACACTCATGAACATGCCCAGAAGATGCATTAATGTACAAGTAGATTGTGAAATAAAAAAGGTTGTTCAAATTTTTCTTAAGCCTTAACAGGGAGTTGGATGATGTTAAAGGTTGAATCATGGGAACTAAACCACCGCCAAATCTTAGAGAGGCTTTCTTAGAGGTTAGGCATGAAGAAAGTAGAAATAAAGTGATGATGGGATCTAAAGAACAACTTGCATCAACGTTGGATGCATCTGCCCTTGTTGTTTGATCATCCAACAATAATGGTGGAGATCGTCAGAAACGGGAAAGACCTTGGTGTGATATTGTAAGAAACTAGATCATTACAAGGGGACTTGTTGGAAGCTCCATAGCAAAGCAACTGATTGGAAACCAAAGCTACGGTTTGATTGAGACAACAAAGCACATGTGACATCCAACTCTGAGAGTGCTCTTATTCCAGAGCCTAGCCCATTTAGTAAAGAGCAGATGGATTGCTGCCAAAATTTTCTAGTCAAGTTGGTAGTGGTAGCATTATTGAGATAGGTTTGGTTTCTCAAACAGATTCCCATACTGCCTTCACTACTAACGGAGGAGAAAAAAGGTTATGGATAGTCGACTTGGTGCTTTGGATCACAAGATAGGAGATGCCGCCCTTCTCCAAAATTACAGGCCAACTAGTGGTCAATCATCTGTCCATATTGTCGATGATTCAAATTTTAAAATTGTTGGAATTGTATCCCAACTCTATCCTTTATGTTTCAAACATGGATAGTAATCTTCTATCCATTAGCAAATCGACTCGTGACTGTCAATGTGTTACAAAATTTTATCCAAACTTGCATGTTTTTCAGGAGTTGAAATCAAGGAAGATGGTTGGCAGTGCTAAATAGTGCTTCAGACTCTATCTCCTCTTATATGATAAATCCTCAAACCAAGTTTCTCAAACAAGTTCCACCCAATCTCAGAGTGTTTAGAATCTTTCAATTATGTGTCCAATTCCAATGTTAATAAAGATAGTAAAATTATTTTTAACAATATCTTCTTGGTCATCCTAACTTTGTGTTGCAAAATTGTTTCCCAAATTATTTATCAACAAAAGGCCAACATCTTTTCATTGTGAAACTTATTGCAAAGCATACTCGAACAATATATCCTCAAATTCCATACAAACCTTCAACTATTTTTTCTTTAATCAATAGTGATGTGTAGGGTCCCTCAACTATAAAAAATATTTCTGGCACTCTATGATTTGTGACATTTGTTGATTATAAAAAGGTAACTTGTGTTTTTCTTATGAAAGAAAAGTTTGAATTCGGACAAATTTTTCTTCAAACTTTTTCTACTTTCAATCTTATGGTTCAAAATCAATTTAAGTCTAAAATTCAGGTACTCAAGTGAGACAATGCTAGAGAATACTTCACTCATAGTCTCAATACTTACCTTCAGAACCATGAGATTATCCACATAAGTTTTTTGTATTGACACCCCTTAACAAAATGGGGTGGTTGAACACAAGAATAGAATTCTCTTGGAAGTTGTCCAATGTCTTATGTTTTCCTCTAATGTTCCAAATTATTTGATCAATCATATGCCATTCAAAGTCCTTAATTTTCAATCTTCACATCAACTTCTGGAAAATTTTCCTCACACCCATCCAACTTCATCTCATTTATCACTCAAGGTATTTGGTTGCAAAGCATTTGTTCATGTGTATCCTCAACACCGTAGCAACATTGATCCTAGAGCCAATAATTGTATTTTTCTAGGGTGCTCTCTAACTTAAAAGGGGTACAAATGTTATTCTCCAACCAATAAAAAAATTCACACCACCATGGATGTCTCTTTCTTTGAACACGTGTCTTTCTATCCCAAATATCATGTTCAGAGGAAGAGCATGAATAAACATCAAGTTTGAATGTTCTTTCTTGAGTCTGTGCCCTTTGCCCACTCAGAGTCACCAAGTTCTTCTCAACATGTGTATGTGCACAAAGACCATATATAAGACTTATCCACACATGTGCATGTTCAGTCATCAATCCAACCCACAAATATTTCTTCTCCCATGCTTGCTAAATATGTGGCTCCACAACTTACTAAGTAGAATGTTCAAGTCTACATTAGGAGGAAAAGACAAGAGCTAGTGCATGTATCACAACCAGCATGTGGCTAAGATATTGACTCAATTTCAAGACCATCTAGTGAAAGCATAGGTATGGATAAGGCTGGAGATGTGCCAATTCCCAACACTAATGACTCTATCATGCTGATTACATTGAGAAGGGGTGTTAGAAGATGTACAAGTCATCCAATTCAAAATTATGTTACTTATGAAGGGCTATCATCATCTTACAGAGTATTTGCTACTTTTCTTGATAATATCTAGATCCCTAGCATAATACAAAAGGTATTACAAAATTCAAAATAGAAGAAGGCAATACAAGATGAGATTGATGCACATGAGAAGAGTGGAACATGGACTATTACTGATTTTCTAGCTGGGAAGAGGCTCGTTGGGTGTAAGTGGATTTTCATGAAAAAGTACAAAGCAAATGGATCAGTTCAGAGATTCAAAGCTTGATTGGTAGCTAGAGGATTTACACAATCCTATGGAATAGACTATCAAGAAACTTTTTCTTATATCACAAAGCTTAATACTATCATAATTATTCTCTCCTTGGCTAACAACCAAGATTGATACTTGCAACAACTGGACATAAAAAATGTTTTTTTTCTAAATGGTGACCTCGAAGAAGAAGTCTAAATGGAAATTCCACCTGGTTTTGAAAAAAGTAAGACAATAAAATCATCTTTACAAACTCAAGAAGCCATGTACGGCCTTAAACAATCTTCCCGAGCCTGATTTGATGATATTATTTTATCTGGGAATGATGTAAGGGAATTATAGAATTTGAGTATCTGTCAAAACTTAGAAGAGTTTGAAGTTAAAGATATTAAAAATTTTAAATACTTCCTTGGAATGGAAGTGGCTAGATCAAAAAAGGGCATTGTTGTTTTTTTCCAAGTAAAATCTTAGGAATGTCCTTCTTTATTAGATTTGAACGAGAATTTGACTTTTAATAGGACACAAATAGGACATAATGGAGAAAAGGGATTTGAATAAAAAGGATTCTTAGTGAACTAGGACAAATGAGTTCATCTCCTATTTTGATGATGTGTGATAATCAGGCAGCTATCAGCATAGCTAAGATCCTGTGCTTCATGATAGGGCTAAGCATGTTGAAATTGACAGACACTTCATCACAAAGAAGGTGACTAGTGAGACTATTAAATTGAAATACATCAATACCAAGCAACAAACTGCAGACATCAAAGCTCTACCTAAACCTAACTTTGAAAACTTAATTTGCAAGCTTGGATTATATGATATATATTCTCCAACATGAGGGGGAGTGTTGAATATTTGAAAGTCAAAGTTAGGGAATTTATTTTAAGAAAATATTTTCAGATATAAAAGGAGAGATTGTTTCTAATCTTCTCCTATTATTCTAGTTTTATTTAGAAAAGTCTTTTTTTAGAAATAAAGGATAGATTGATTGTGATCTTCTATGATTCTTTTTTCTAATTTTTAGGAAAGAATTACTCTTCTAAGATTTTGTTTCCTAAATTTTAAAAAAGAATTAAGTTAGTTATTTTCTTTATTAGACATTTTTTAGTATATATTTATACTTATATATTATTATTATTATTATTATTATTTGAACAAGGACGAAGAATAATCAATTAAGAAATTTTTCAAATGTAGATTCCAAATAATATCGTGAAGCTCTCAACCCTTAGTGGAAGAAAGTTGTAAACGAAGAAATCTAGACTTTAGAAAGCGATTGGAAGTTTCTAAACTTCCTATAAGAAAACAAAGGACTTGATACAAATGGATCTTTATAGTCAAATATAAAGATGCGAGCATGGATAAATTTAAAACCCATCTTGTTGCAAAAGTGTACATCAACTATTAAAAACTTTTTTCTTTGATTGCTAAACTCAACACAATTTATGTTTTGTTTTCTCTTGCAGTAAATTTAGACTTGCCTAACTTAACATTAAGAATTAAATGGGAACCTTGACAAGGAAATATACATGGAGATCCCCACTAGATTAAAAAATAAGATAAACAACAATAAGTAGAGTCAAAAAAGCTCTATATGAACTCAAACAATGTCCTTGTGCCTGATTTGGCAGATTCTCCAACTATGTTGTAAAATGAGAATCCAACTATGTTGTAAAATGTGGATAAATTCAATGTTAAATTGATCACATTCTCTTTATCAAATGCTATCTTAAAGAAGAATAAGATGACTCTGATCGTGTATATAGACAATATTATATTAACAAGTGACTTCGAGAAAGAGCTAACTAGATTAAAGGATTTCTTACATGAGAATTTGAAATAAAAGACTTAAAAAATATATATAATACTTTCTTGAGATGCAAGTGACATGACCAGGCAAAATATTATTATTTTCCAAAGGAAGTATATTTTAGATCAATTTAAAAAAAAAATTGAGATCACCAAAAATAACACCCATTGATAAAGGAATATATGAATGCTTTGTGTGCAAAGTCATCTACCTCTCTCACTTGTCCTAATATTAGGTTACCTGTTACTGTTGTAAAACACTACATGAACAATCTTAGAAGAGCACATGAAAGTTATCGACTGCATTCTAAGATATCTCAGAAAGAAATCAATAATAAAAAGCATGTCCTATGAAAAATCAACCAACAAGAAATTAAAATTTTCACATAATTCCTGGCTAGCATAATAGCTGTATGATTTGTCCTACGTTAAGAAAGATAGAGGTAGACCTAAGACTTGGAAAATATTAGAAGTAATCTTCTCTTAATAGATTTAAATGAGAATTTGATCCTAAACAGGACAATGGTGACAAGGGCTCCATGTAGCCAACCCCACGTAGTGGGATAAAGACTTGATGTTTTCGTTGTATATTGATTAAGCTAGAGATGCATCAAAACAAAGATTCTCCATTGGTTATTATACTTATATATAAGCAAACTTGATTATATGGAGATTAAGAAACAATCTATGGTCTTAAGAAGCAAAACTGAAGCAAAATATTTGGCAATGGCAATTGGTTTTTACAAAAGAGTGGTTAAAAATATTGTTAGAAGAATCAAGCTATCAAGAGAAAAAAACTCTAAAAGTGTGCAATGGCAATTAGGCTACTGCACTATAAGTATTGCAAAAAATCTTGTCTGGAACTAAGCTCATTGAGATAGGTTAACATTCCATCTTAAATAAAAATTAAAAAATAAATAAACTCAATTAAATTATGTTCAAATAAACTCTGAAATTGCAAATATTCTAACCAAAGCTTTATGTAGAATGAGTATTGATAAACTCACCAATAAGTTAGATATGATCGACATATAAAACCCAACTTGAGAAATGTTAAAATAATCATGAATTCATATCCAACACCCTTACATCTACAACAACCCAACAATCCATAGACAACAACTATTCATTTTTAGCAATCATTGGACAGCAAGTTTACATTTACAATCATACAATAATCTGTTGATAACAACAATCCATTTCTAATGTGCAGTTTATTCTATATTCCAAAATTAAAGATTGATGTTCAAATTGATTATTTTCCTTGCTGGTTATTTTGTACCTATTTATGTATAATTTCCCATCTTATTTTTTATAGATCACAAAGGAAAAAAATTCAATCATATAATCTCCCATTTTCTACTCTCTTCTCTTATCATTCTAACTTTCAAGTATCCTTAACATTTTAAGTTCATTTTTTATGGTTTCTTCGTGCTAGTTGCTTCCTTACATCTCCTTCAAGTGTTTTGGAGCTTCTATCTTAATTCCAACACTCCATTCCTTTGTTCTCCCTAAGTTTAGGAAGCTAGCTAAAATCTATTTCAATCTAAACACCCTACCTTTTTTAACTCCACAAACCAAAGCCCTAAATAACAATTTCATCCTTCTTCTAAAAGCCTAAATTATCCATAGATTCCCTACATAACCCTCTATTAAGCTCAACACTAAACCACCTAAAATTCAACTACCTTTTCATAAACTTAAGCCAATTTTGGATCTCCACCTTCCAGAAACCTTATAAACCCCAAATCACTTCCATTGGGTTCCCCTACTTCTCTCACATCAAATAAAATTACTTACCTCAATCTTCCACTCCAAAGTCCATCATATACTCTCCATTAGCATGAGAAGGAGGTCAGTTAGGGTGTATCTTCTTCACCCTCTACCTTTCAATATCAAGCAAAGTGATAATCCTTTCAACCTAAATTTTATTGATCTATGACAAATTAAAATCAGTAAAATAATTGTTCCATAGAGAAGTTTCAATTCTGTATACATCACCATGAATGGATTAGAGAAAAATTTACACATTTGCTTAAGAATTATTTTGTGTTGCACATTTCATATGGGCTATGCTAACTTCCTTGATAGGTTAACCTTGAATGTTTTATGAAGACAAGTAGTTTCTTAAGACGTTAATAAAAAATGTTGAGTTGATAACAACTAATGATAGGCTTTTAGTTTGTATTATGTGAATAACAACTCAAATTTATTATTTACATTCATCTAGTCTATTGTCCTTGACAAACTATTTGATCTAAGCTCACGAATATCAAGGTAGTCGGATTTTATAATTGACAAACAATACCTTGAACAATTTATATGGGTGATAGCTTTTTAAAATCTGTGTAATATTCATTTCTTCAAAATCTAGGGCATTCAATTAAACTGTTTATGATTTCAGCTTCTTTATGTGAATACTTATGAAATGGTGTTATCTCTATTAGACTATTATGGTAAAAGGATTTACAATTATTTACTTCTCAATACAATTTGTTCTTTAAATTCCTAGGAATCATATGTGTATGCTTACTTGTTTATATTTCAATTGCATAGGTAGACTATATTGCAGCATAACTTGCTTTACAGAAAAATTTAATGAATGTTGATGTGAATGCAAAATTATAATACATAGAAATAATTGTATGTGCATGCTAATATATATATATATATATATATATATATATATATATAAAATTATAATACATGCAAAATTACTATATATATATATATTTAAAATTAGAATAAATTAAATATTAAGGTTTAGTCGCTCTTTTATACTTTTAATGATGCCTTCAATGGTTAATTCTATCATAAATTATTATATAAAACGCATCTATATATATATATATATATATATCATCAAATTTTGAATGTTCTTACATTGAAAATTTTAAATATTATTTATTATAAGAAAAATGAAAAGATGCTTAATGATTTGTTTCGTAGGGGTCACGTGCTTCACTTTGCCCTTATTCTTTTTTTTTTTTTTTACCTTTCCTGAAGTTATCAACACACATAAAACGTCGACATTTTGATGACCCTCTCAAAAGAGTAGATGTATTATATTTGACCTATGTTAAAAATGTCAAAATAGACCTGAAAAGACTTGGTTATAAAGTATTAAATGAACTTTTTTTTATTAGATTTAAATGAGAATTTGTTTCTTAATATGACACAATTGAGAAAAATGATTCATGTAGCAAACCCCACGTAGTGGGATAAAGACTGATGTTATGGTTGTTTGTGCCAAAGTCATCATCATGGCTATCAATTGCAAGTGCCTTATACCTCCTGTGATGGCCAACAAGGCTCCTCCAGTCAAGGCAGCAGCACCAATGATGCCACCACGCTTCCATTTTGCCCATTTATTTTTTGTTGAATCACTTTCTTGTGACTGCTGTTGTTCTTTATTTGCAGCCATTGCTGAGAAAGCAACAATTATCTCCATAGCTTCCTAAAATACAAAGCAATAAGAACGGTCGCTACTACAAAATGCCTACTCAAACTTACAAAATATAATTAGTAATAATTTTAAGCAAGTATAGAAGCAAAACATGTATCCTTGCAAGTTATGCAATGAAGGAACTTTTTTCCATGATCTAAAATTGCTGCATCCATAAGATGCCAACCTTTTCTAAAGAATTGGCATAAATAATAAAATGCAAGGATCATGTACTCATTTACAAAAAGAAACATCAGAAGTTGAATATGAATTTCATCAGCAGCCTAAAGCAGGTTAAGTACTATAATATTCTAGGGCTAACTTGAATTTAACAAGAAAAATGGGAAAAAATGCAAAACCCTAGTAAGCAATGACAGTTAAGCATGCAAAATATAACTCTGCAAGGTATAATGTTTTCCATGAGAAGTACAATGTTTATGACAAGGTTGAAGGATGAGTGTCATCATAAGTTTCATAATGAAATAGGAAGAGTGTGGTTGTTGATACGGTGATACCTCTTGCAAATAATGATGATCATCACAAGGATTGTTGATGCAACTAAAAACAAACTTTGCTCTATGAATGCAATTAAAAATACACTTCCTTTTTATTCACATAAATCTTAAATAACACAAACAAACACAACAATAAAACGGTACTAACACCACTTACAACTTATAATAGAACAAGACACGAAACAACTTAAAACTTATAAGTTTTAGAGAAGAAAGATACAGGTGGAAGGGGAAACATGGAGAGAAGAATAGATAGAAGTCTGAGACAAATATAAGAAGGAAGTTAGAAGAGGATAGCTCGCAAGCTATGATAAACCCGCAGGTTTTGAATGGTCACATTCCAAAAATTTCTTCAAAGTCATTTTTTCACATAGAAAATTAGCCCCAATTTATAGGAGAAATAAGAGGGAATAGCACTTAATAGATCACATAAATGAGCCCCCAAAATAGCCACTAAAAACCACCAAAACAACCCACATTTAAAGCTTTCTGATTAGGAATCAACAAAGAGAAATCCTGCATAGGAATCAACAAAGAGAAAACCGAGCAGCCACAGCAGGGAAAACGAGCAGCCAACAGTAGGGCAATAGCATGGAGAAAAACAACCAGCAACACTTAAGGAAGACCAAATAACACTTAGGGAAGATCAAACAACACTTAGGGAAAACCAAACAGCAACAAGTATACGAGTAGACAGGAGAGAAAATGAGTGGATATTAGGGAAACTGAGAGATAGCTGGAAAATCGAGGGGCCAACATGGAAAACTAAGGGCTATGTTTCACGGATACTCCTATTTACGAGGCATGATGTATCTGACACATGTCGTATACGGATACGCCTCCAATACGACACAGATATGTGTTGGATACGGCTTTGTCGTGTCCAATTAAAATATTATTTAAATTTGACCAGATACGCGTGTCCTATTAAAAAAACAGAGCCGCAATTTGCCCTATTCATTTTAGCTAAACATTTCGGCGAGCTAGGCTTTTCGTTTCCACACAGGTGTTCGTCTTTTTTGCTATAGTCGAAGGAGCGGCTCGACGACGTGAGCATAGAAGTGGACAAGATCATCCTTCGTCAACGAAGAGGCTTGACGAAGTGAGCATTAAAGCCGACAGGATCATCCTTTGTCGACAGAGCGAGTCGACGACGCGAATAGTGAAGGCGACATGAGCAGTGAAGGTTCGTTTTCTTCGTTCTTCGTTCTTCGTTGACGGAACGACTCGATATTCGGTACCGCTCGGTACTGCTCGATACCGCTCGGTACTGCTCGGTACCACTCGGTACTGGAACTCCATACCGCTCGGTACCGGAACTCCATACCGCTCAATACCGGAACTCGGCACCGCTCAGTACCTCTCTGTAACACTCAGTACCATGCTCAGTATCAAAGCTCGGTACCGCTCGATACAAAGGGGTACCGCTCAACACCAAGCGGCACCGAGAAGGTAGAGAAAGCCTTAAAACAACTTTTATAATAAAAATTTGTTCCCTTTAGGGGTGTCAATTCAGATCAACGGGCCGACTTGAACCCAACCTTAAATGGGTCGACACTAAACCGATCCAGTTTTACAAATGGGTCAGGATTGTCAACCCAGACCCGACCCGTGCGGGTTACTGAGTTGACCCGACACGCGAGGGAGGGATGGCGACATTCTACAGCAGCGGCAGCAGCATCTCGCGGGCATGACGGCAGCAGCAGCGGCAGCGACATCTCGCGTCCAGTGGTGGTCTTCTTCAGTCCGACAACACGCGAGCGTCCAGGCGAGACAGCGCCAGGCCGACAGTAACGATGAGCGTGACGCGACCCTGAGTGACAAGACGTGACTGCAACGCAACCCGCGACCGAATGACCGATTGACGGATGATGCGACCCTGAGTGTTACTTCCGGGTAAATTCGGGTCGACCCGCGGGTTAACGGGTCAACCCGAACCTGACCCATTTTTTCAAATGGGTCAGAAATCTGAACCTGGACCCGACCCTTTTCACAAACGAGTTGACCCAAACCCGAATTTTTTCGGGTCGGGTTTCGGGTCATTTCAACTTTTGACACCCTAGTTCCCCCCAACAGAGGGCAGATCCCCCTTGGATCCCCGGCATAGTCGCAACATATCTATAATTTTACATAAAATTTTTCATATTTCAAATTCATGTAGTTTAATTTGTGTCGATCTTTAGGAATATGAGCTCTAGTGGTGTACGAATTGAGTCTGATGATGGTTCATCAGAGACCAATATTGAAGATAACAAACCTTTGTGGAGTTATGTGACAAAAATAGGTAAAACCTCAGAAGGGGGAGGCAATATTGCATTCAAATGCAATTTTTGTAATGCCACATACAAAGGATCATATTATAAAGTGAAAGTTCATTTGTTAAAGATTAGTGGTCATGGAATTAAAGTATTGTTGACATGTATACCTAAGCAAAAAAAACGTACCTATTTGGACATCTAGCCACGACGCCTTCGCCTTCACACGATGTGCGCCCCTCAACGCACGTCTCGACGCCATTTCACTCGTCATTTCAGCACGACTCACCTCGCGTCGTTAAAAGGTCGAAGAGATGGAACTCCCACGAGCTTCCTTCCCGCACCTCTTCCCCAAGCCCGACCTCTTTCAACCTGCCCTAGCCGCTCCTCAATCCCTCCTTCGACATCGTTCTTCTTTTGGATCGGAAGCATTGACGATAGGAGAAAGCTCTCGGTGAAGTTACAACACTTCGAAAGGAAGCAATGAACAGGAGTTTGTTGGTTGTGAAGTTTACTTTCTCTGGCCCCTTCGTGGCTGTTCGGCTTCACTCCTTCGACTGACGTTCCCTTCCTGTCGGTGCGAAAGTTCCAACATTTTTAATCGGACGAAACGACAGGAGCTCGTATGCCTGTGAAGGTGACTTTCGCCCATTCCACGCGCTTCCTCGGTTCCTCCGACACGGTCCGACTTCGCTCCTAGGACGACATTCCCTTTTAGTTTGATCAGAAGCCATAACGTGAGCTCGTTGCTGTGAGGGTAACTTTCTAACTTTGGTGTGCCCCTTCGGTCCTTCGGTGTTGTTCGACTTCGCTCGTCGAGAGCAATTATTACGTCCTTATTAATTATTACTAATTCATTATAATTTATTAAACTTAATTAATATCAATTAGATATAATTAATTTTAAATTAATTATAACTTATGATTTTAATTAATCATAATAAACTTTAATTAATTATCTTAATTAATTATAATTAATTATAAGTAGTTAATTAAAACAATTTGTTAATTAATTATAGTTAATTAACATTAATTATAATTAATATAAAAAAGGAGAAATGTGCCCCTCCTACCTCGATCTGTGCCCTCCACCGTCGGTCTACCTACGCAAAGGTATAAAGCTTCTAACTTGAAAATCCCTCTCTTACCTCAGTGTGCGTGGCGCGCTGGTTAACCACATATATACGCTTTTCTTAGCGTGGTAGAAGGGAACTCGATGCGACACCTACGACGAGGTAGATGAGCGAACTTTGGACCCAAAATTCTGTGCCCGACGTTCGTGTCAAGCTGGTCAACCACCTATACACGCTTTTCTTAGCGTGGTAGGAGGGAAACCGATGAGACACATGCGACGAGGCAGTTAGGCCTGGCGTACGCTTTTCTTAGCGTGACCGGGACAACTTTAAGTACTCGTACGCTGCTCTGTAGCTGCGGGGAAATAACTGATTTTCTCTTGCAACAGGTACATTTGAAGACCCATACACGCTTTTCTTAGCGTGGTGGAGGACGAAGAAAATACGGTCGCGGTGTCCTCGTCCGAGGACACCTACTATACACGCTTTTTCTTAGCGTGGTGGGAAGGCCCAGTTTCCCGTAGTTTTCCCCTAAACGGGGAGACGCCGAAAGGCTGTCAAAATTTCGGGTAAATGTAAGACTGCATTTAAACCTGGTTTGAACTCAAAAGAACAAGAACTTAGACTCAAATGAATAATGACTTGTGGACTTGAACCTGAACAAAATCTAAATGGCGAATAAAATGTCAAACCCAAATAAAATAAGATCAGACTGAAGCTAAATTCAAATCAATTTGAGCATGCAGTTGAACTTGCCAAGACTTCAGAAGACTCTGAACAAGCATTTGAACTCGAACTGTACAACTTCAAGTGGAACTTGGACTTGAATGTGACATAGTATATACACACTGGACTTGCAAATGAAATTAAAAATGAGAACTTGAACCTCAATAAACCATGTTTTTAATATAAAATTAAACTCAAAATAAATTTGACCAAATGATATTAAACTGGACTCGAATGCAAATAACAAATGACTTGAACTCGGGTCCGATCGTAAGAGACTTTAACAACATGAACTATAAGGAACCCGAATGAAATACACAGGATTGAGCTTTGGATGAATGAACAAGTCAAAGTCTAAATGCATGGTCATCCGAGTGAACAACAAGTTGCAAGTGGAAGATAAAATCTCAATGCATGTGAAAGATGATCAAGGAAGCCCAAGT